ACTGATCAGGTCATCTTGAACTTTGTGTGTCCTCAGGTTCTTGTTAAATCCCTCAGCCTGTCTGGAAGAGCACCTGCTGCAGTTCAAGTTTTTGGGTATTATGATGGGAGTGGCCATCCGCACTAAGAAGCCTCTAGACCTGCATCTCGCTCCAATGGTGTGGAAGCAGCTGTGTTGTATTCCTCTCACCCTTGAGGATCTGGAGGAAGTGGATCTGCTCTACGTACAGACACTCAACAGCATCTTGCACCTGGAGGACAGCGGCATCACAGAGCAGAACTTCCATGAGGTGGAGTGGACGCTCACAAAAGACTCGTTTTTACAGTCTTGTTTCTCATAGGGGACATGTGCTCAGTCTAACTCGGTGGTTCTCAACCTGGGGGACAGGCCCCACAAGATGGCTTAAAATGACTACGAAATATTGATTTATATTTCATGTAGTTTATTTTAAACCATATGTAAGCTAAAATCATATTTCTTATTTTAGTTTGTTCTCTCAACAAATGTAATTTTTATTTAAGAACCAGAATTCCCACAGCTTTTGGAAAACCTGGATAAAAGTCTGATCTTTAGACCTGGAAAAGTCATTAAAAAAATATCTGAAATCTTACAAAGACATGGAAATATTTACAACGAATATAAATATAGAAAGTAATATATTTTATCAGATAGAACGAAATTGTAAGCAAACATATTTTTAAAACCCTTTAAACACAAATGACTAGAATAGGCACACAAATTCAGCAGTAATATATAAAAAATTAGAACATTCAGTTATTCAAAATTATGGAATTTAATAATTTTAATGATAATAAATTTTATTTTATTATTATTATACATATGGTTTGTAATATTTATATTAGTATTTATAGTTTCTATAAATGAAATGTTTTTTCCCCCCTTTTTTTAATAGATGATTCCACTGGATTCATTTGTTGGCCAAAGTGCTGATGGGAAAATGGTTCCCATCATCCCTGGAGGAAACAGCATACCACTGACCTTTTTTAATAGGAAGGAGTATGTAGAGCGTGCCATTGAGTATCGCCTGCATGAAATCGATCGCCAGGTGTGTTAAAGTCAAAACGGGTGTATCCTTTCCTCATATATGTGTATCTACACCTAGAACATGTCTTGTCAGCTGATCCTGTTATTCATCTCTTGTTTTGCGCGGTAGGTGGGGGCGGTGCGAGAGGGCATGTCCTGGATCGTGCCTGTCCCCTTGCTCTCCTTACTAACAGCGCGGCAGCTGGAGCAGATGGTCTGCGGGCTGCCGGAGATCAGCGTGGAGGTTCTGAAGAAGGTGGTCCGGTACCGGGAGGTGGATGAGCAGCAGCAGCTGGTCCAGTGGTTCTGGCAGACACTGGAGGAGTTCTCCAATGAGGAGAGAGTGCTCTTCATGCGCTTCGTCTCGGGACGCTCCCGTCTGCCAGCTAACACTGCTGACATATCCCAGAGGTTCCAGATCATGAAGGTGGACCGGGTAAGAATGTTGCCGTGTTTTTATGGATGACCAGGCATTTGCGTTTATGTACTAATGTTTATCTCTGCTCTCTTTCAGCCGTACGACAGTCTTCCCACCTCTCAGACGTGCTTCTTCCAGCTCCGTCTCCCACCTTACTCTAGCCAACCCGTCATGGCGGAGCGGCTGCGTTACGCTATTAACAACTGCCGTTCTATCGACATGGACAACTACATGCTGTCCCGCAATGTGGACAATGCAGAGGGGTCTGACACAGATTACTGACCTTATGTGCACACATAAACAGTGTACACTGTTAGGACTCAGTTTAGTATTCGGTGCAGGCTTTTATGATTTTTATGATTACATATACATCTTAAACACATCAAGTGGTTTTATTTCACCTTTTATTTCTTAGCAATTTAGCAACGCTTGGGTGGGCCGCACAATCTGTTTACACATATGTACACACGCGCACGTGTGTTGATTGTATATTCTTTCTCTTTACTTTAAAGCACAGTCTTTCGCCACTATTCATTTTTTGGCTCTGCCTTTTTTTCAGGATATTCTGCATGAAAGTGTTTTTATTTAAAAAAAAAAAAAATGTATAGAATGACAAAAAAGAAAAATATTGTACATTGTGTATAATGCTTCATTAGGAAATTGTTTTACATGAGTATCTGTATTTATTTGAATTTTTTGAATCGCCTACACCAGATTTCTTATGTCAGATGCAATAAATGTTTGATCTGAAACTGCATTTTTGATATTATTGGTCACAAATTAAAAAGAAATTAATAAGGGGGGGGAAATGTAAGGTCAGTAAGGTTTTTTTTTTATTTGATACTTTTCAACAAGGATGCATTAAATTGATCAAACATGACAAATCTTTTGTTACATGTTTTTTTAAATTATATATTATATAAATGCTGTTCTTTTGAGTTCTATTTATCAAAGAATCTTGAAAAAATTCGTCCACAAAAATATTCAGCACAACCATTTCCAACACATAAGAACTGTTTCTTGAGCGCCAAATCAGCATGCATAGAATGATATCTGAAGGATCATGTGACATTGAAGACTGGAGTAATGGTTGATTCAGCTTTGCCATCACAAGGAATAAATTCCATATTAAAATATATAAAAATAGAAAACCGTTATTTAAGATTGTAATATTTCACAATATTACGCTTTTTACCCATTCAAATAAATGCAGCCTTAGTAAAAACGCTCTAGCTCATGTATTTTGTTTTAATAGTAGATTTCAGATTTTGTTATTTAGCACTCAAATTGCAGGGGGGGGGTTTTCAATTGCTTAAGCACAATTTTGAAAACTGGGCTTGGTTTTTCAATCCCCTGCACACAATTAGCACAACACTACACCAATGTAGCACAAAACCTCAGATCATTTGCAAAATAGAGCGCTTTTGTCAAAACTATACAATGTCTTATAAAAACCTTATTTTGTTGTCATAACAAACAACCATCATATGGTCTGATTCTGTTTGAGTCAGTTAAACACTCATGTGCTCAGCCTAAACCACTTTTAGCATTTACACAGAGAAAGTGTAAAAATAAATTCACCAACACCACATGACACCAATTGTTCAGACTAATGAAAATATTTATTTCTTGTCATGTACTCAAGTCAGTCAATCCCGAACATTTCAACAAAACATTTTCCAGTTTTTATACAGTATTACTGAACTAAGCTTACAGTAATACTGTAACAAGACGAATCCACCCTTGTATGGATGCTGCTTCAATTTGATCACATGCTTCCTCCATCGCTTGAATGAGGGGGCATCTGGACATAGGGCTGGAGATCATAAACCTTCCACCGCCATGCTGAGAAGAACTCCTCGATGGGGTTTAGGAAGGAGGAGTATGGTGAAAGATATTGAACTGTAAATTGTGGGTGATGAAACCAGTTTTGGGCCAGAGCAGAATGATGGAAAGCTACATTGTCCCAGACGACAATGTATTGCATCTGGTCCCTTTGGTTTGCTGCTATGATAATATTGTGTAATCTGTCTAAAAATCTCAGAATGAGGTCAGTGTTGTAAGGATCCAAGTTGGCATGGCGGTGGAGGACCCTATTCTGTGTAATGGCAGCCCAAAGGGCAATGTTACCCCCACGTTGCCCTGGTACATTGACAATAGCCCTGTGGCCAATGAGGTTTCTTCCCCTTCTCACTGTTGTCAGCCTCATCAATGTATATAAATTCATGTGGGACTTCCTCCGCATCCATTTGCAAAACTCTCTGAAATACAGCAAAAGATCACATTGTGTAGATCAATATACTGTAAACAGTAAAAAGGTTATGTGTGCAGACAGTACACAATAGTACTAGTCAGTGAACAAAACGTACCACCAGATAGTCACGCCGCAGGACTTTCACCCTGTCTGAAGTTCTTTCAAATGGCACTTTATACAGTCGTTTCATCAGAACTTGATGTTTTTTTAAGCATACGGGCAGGCTATTGTTGACAGAGAGACCTGTTGGATATTATTGAAAATTGGATGATCATTAACAATATGGCCTTCAATTTCTCTAAGTCTGATTGCATTTTTGGCCAAACCGAGGTTTATGATCTCGCTCTCTTGCTCCTGTGTGAATATGGAGCCCCTCCCTCCTTGGTGTTCTCGACGTTTAATCCTATGTTGTCCAAACAAAATAGATGTAGCTTACTGTAAAATGATACAGGAATAGATATCAAAACTGTTGATATAGTACATGCAGTAAGCTATGGATTTTCTGTTGACAAGATAAGTTTCTCACCTGTGCTCTTGACGAAATGTCCGAACTATTGATGCCATGCCACCGTGTACCGGTTTAGTTTAAGCTGTACTCTCAGTCCAGCCTCCCTCAGTGTTAGTCCGTGATTTATTACATGGTCCACAATTGTAGCACGAATTTCATTACACAAATTTGGTTGTCTTCTTCTTTGTGCATGTCCTTCCCTCTATGGTCCTTCCCCTCCCTCTTCCTCTAACACCGTCCATTTTTGACTTTACCTGTTGCCTTTTTATAGTGCTTAAACCTACCTTATTGGTGTGTCTACAATTAAGCACGAGCGTGTGTGTGCCCACCTGGTGGCTGTTTAACCAATTGGTTCATGAGTGTGTTCATTTGAAAGCCTTTGCTTTGAAATTGCAAGGAAATTACATCCTGATAAATTTCTGTGTCAAATACAAGTGTGTTTAGTGTTTTGCAAATCACTGTGTAATGTTTTGGAAAAAGTGTGAAGCTGACATTGTGCTTACAGTTGTGCAAATCTAGGCCAGTGTTTTGCTCCTTGAGTGTAAGGTTTTGCTAATTGTGGGAAAGTTTTAATTTTAGTGTGTAAGCAATTGAAAAAAAAAAAACCTGTAAACCTTTTTAGAACTCAATCTTGTGTGAGATTGGGGGTTAAATCATGATTTGATATATCAGGAATGATTTCCCAGCTTCTTTACAAATACGTCGTCGTCCAGCATGGGGGGAAAAAACAATTCTGAACAAAATGCACATGAAAGAAGGAATACCCTTACAATGGATTCAAGCTCAACCTACTTTATTATGAATGAAAATGTCATACGTCTTACAAAGGAAACTAAAAGCATATGAGTCTAATAAAAGTGACATCTAAACAGAAACCACTGCACTGACCCCACTTAGGTTTTAAAATCCTTCGAGCTTCCTGTAGATTCAGAGTAGTGGTTTCATTTAAGAGTGGCCACTGGATTGCTCATTCAAACCAAGCAGTTTAAATGCATTTAAGTACCACTGGGATGGCGATACACGCCGCGGGGAAATTAAACTGCCGCCCTAGGGAGGGTTAAGGAGGATATTTTAAAAGACAAGATTATAGAATTAAAAGGACAGCACAACGCCACACTCCAGAGAATTCGAGATCTGTTCTAAGACTCATGACATGATATTAGCAGATGATTTGAGCCTAATTGGTCAGTAAAACATAAAATACAAGGGAGAAACCCTGACAAATAAACTATTTAAATGCCAAACCTATACAAGACCTCATTTAAAATCTGCTACAGAGGAAAGAATCACATATGAAAGCAGCTCTAGACATAATTCTTTAGTATAAAACACACACACAATCTCTGTCTTTTACATGGTTTCAGTGTCTCTCTCACACACAGAACATGAGGTACAGAAGGGAAAACAAAAGAGGAGGTAATTACAGAAAGTGCAAGATCTGCAGACATAAAATTCCTGTTACTCGGCAACCATTCTTACGCAGACTACCTAGACCATAAGCCAGAGTCCAGGGCTGCTGGCCGTGTCGTCGGCCAACTGGCTCAGTGAGCCGGTCTTTGGAGAAAGTCCTGTTTGTAGTTGATGGGTTATCTAGGCCTGTGATTGGCCAGCAGGAAGTCTTTATCTTTACAGGTAAGGCAGAGTTTGAGGTTCCTCAAAGATCCTCCAGCACATAAGTACGCCCAGGCCGCCATGACAGACAGTATGATGTAGGTCGGGATCAGACTGCCTTGATAGTGTGGGTTCACAAATGTCTGTGGGGGTGAAAAAAAGAACCAACGTCTCACATGATGCACTTGTGATCAGATAGTCAGCTGTATTAGTCGTGTTTGTTGCTATGTATACACTGAACAATGCATTACTAGTTCAGGGTTTCCCAAATGGGGTTTCGTAAGTTGATGAAAAGCTAATAATTAAATCAAATGTAAAATTAAAGAGTAAATGTGGCTACTAATTGAAATACACTGAAATCATGATATAGCTTGGTGCGAGTATAAAATCAAAGACTGCGATTTAGATAAGTATATAGTCTGTTGCGCTACATGTTTCAGATTGAAGAGTGGCACTGTGTTAAACGTACAGCTTACAGTGTTTTCAGCTTCAGTAAATGCTGCTTCTCACCTATATATTCATATAAATATTAGTTAACTTAAACCAAACTTAAACTTTTCAGTTTATTGCAAAGGCAACATTGAAGTTTAAAGCACTACAATTATTAACTGGAAATAATTAAAAACTAAAAGTCACTAAAACTAAAACATAAATTGAACCTACATGGCAATATATAAAAAATAAATGAAAATAAAATGTAACTAAAATTATCATGAAAAGCACAATTAAAGCCAATTAATTATTAAACTATAATAAAACTAAAATAACACACACAACACTAACTAAAAAAGTCTTATGTTTACATGCACGTCATGTCATTAACCAACATCAGAAAACAAACAATGAACATGCGAATGTGACGTTAATTATATTGAAATATAATTTTATAATTAAATTGAAATTTAACTTAAAATCTCAGGGGATACTTCTAGTAAATATTTAACATCATAGGGGTTCAGCTGACAAAGTTTATTGTATGATACGTGTTGACTTACCAGGCATGATACTATAAGATGACTGATGACCACAGCTCCAAGAGCCCACCATCTCTGTCGCTCACACGCCTCAAAGAAAACAACCCCCCAGAACATATGCAGCAAGATAATGGCCAGTGTCATAAAGGCTGAGGAGGAAAAGCACACCATGAACGTCTGAGTCACACTGGATATGATTTTATGGGTTTAATCGCAAACTGGCATCTCATTACCTGAGGATATGAAGTAATGCTGAGGGTCACCATGAATACCGACAGTTCCTGGACCCAAGGAGTCCGAGAGTATGTTGACCACAGAGAACGCACCACTCATGAAGCCAAAGCCCAGACCTGATACTGCAAACCAGTGACACACACAATTAAACAAACATCGGCTGTTTATTGCACTACTAGGAGAAGCATGTGATGGATGTTTACCATAAGCTAGCTGCCGCATGGAGATGGGCATTGTGTCCTCCTGACTGAGCGCCAACAGGCCTTCATTTGCTTTCCTGAGAGATACAATAACAGATGTTAACAACCACCCTCCTACACAACACCAACACTGAATGCCGATGTGAATCACTGACGTAATCTTTTAGCTATTTAAAGACTCCATGAAACCTGACGAGGACTTTTTTGAGAAATTAATACTTTCATTAATAAATCAAAATAAACACGGTTCTTTTGAATTTTATCAATCAAATTATCCTAAAAACATGCATCAGGTTTCAACAAAAATATTGATAATAATAAGAAATGTTTCTTGAGCATCAAATCAGCATATTAAAATGATTTCTGAAGGATCATGTGACACTTAAGACTTAAGATTCTTTTGCAGTTAACGTGTCTTCTCCGCCTGTTTTTGTCTGACTCTGCTGAACCAATGAGCATTTCACTGTCCAATGGTCATGCCTTAACTGCAATTTCTAGTAGTGCATTAGTATTGCATCCTTCTCATGGGCATTTAATCATTTTTGACTTTTCAGTCTGAGTGAAATCTCTTTTTTGGCTTATTTCATCTGTAAAAGAAAACGCACCTAATTACGCACACCAGAATATAAGGCATTTTTCATTTCTAGCCTTTATGAACAATTATAAATCATTAAATACAAATTTCATAGTAGTTATTAAGATTAATGTGGTTTTAAATTAGTAAAATGTGACTGGCAAAAAAATATGAACGGAATATCAACGTGCATAATAATTCTGCACACACTGTAATGACTACTGAAAACTCAGCTTTGCCATCACAGGTAAAAATGCATTTTTAAGTTATTTTAAATCATAATAATATTTCACAATATCACTCTTTTAGTGCATTTTTGATCAAACAAATGAAGTCTTGGTGAGCATAAGAGACTTCTTTCAAAACCTTTTTTTTTATTACTGACCCCAAACTTTTGAATGGTAGTCTTTTATTTTAATTTTTTGGGAGGTTTTGATTTTTTCGAGAAAAGCAATTATGTTTAGTTATGTCATAGCCATGAACCATGATTCACTACTCCTTGGTCAGTTGCAGGGGAGGGACACTTTCATTCTAGAGAGCATTTGATTGGACAAATATCTATCTAGTGCAACATGAGTCATCAATATTTTTGCTTCCATTCCCACAGAAGAGAAAGACTGTACATTCAAATGTGTATTTAGCATATAAATGACATCAAAACTTAAACACAAAACACAGCCATGCCACTTAAATGTTATATCAATGCAGACAATGCTCAAGAACACGATATATTTAGGCTTACTGATTATGCATCTCCTTTCAAACAAGGAAAATGGATGGTTAATTCTTACTTCAGCAATCTGTAGTAACCATATCTGAAAGCCTCCTGAAGCAGAACAGAGAGCACGACTCCAAAAATGAGTAGGCCTCTCTGCTGAGTGGCACTGTTCTTGTTGCTGATCTGAACTGTGATGAACCACACAAGAGAGGACAGCAGCAAAGACACCAGCCAGAAGAACGCCCTAAAACAAACACAATCATCTTACAAACACTGAAGGGCTTCCCCATTCCATTGCTGGTTAGCGCTCTTGAAGGAGCAGTACAGCCACAAATGAATTTTATCATTATTTTCTCACCCTGTTGTTCGGAACCCATGCTACCGTTCAAAAGTTTGGGGTCGGTACGATGTTTCTGTAAGAAGTCTCTTATGGTCACAACACAAGGATGCATTTATTCTATCACAAATACAGTAAACTGAAATATTTGGAGCAATGTAATGCTGAATAAAAGTATTAATTTCTATAAAAATTAAACCCCAAACTTTTGAACAATAGTGTATTTTTTGTGAACTATTCCACTAAATATCTTAAGATTTCAAAACTTCTTCATTCATTCATTAAAAGTTGCGTGAGTTTGTCATGTTTTAATAGTATTCCAAATGAGCATGAGATCCTAACGTTAGTGATTTCACTAAAGCAGCAGATGTGAAGGGCAGTTCTCAGCCCAGATGAAGTGCTGTATATCACGGGACTTTCAGCCACACTAAGTCGCACATCTGCCCTGATACTCACCCTGCTATGAGGAAGATCACACGCAGCGGGTCCCGGGCGATTGTAAACAGAAACAAACTGATGGCCGGGCCGAAAGCGATGAACGTACAGCCGAAAAACACCGCCACAGTCATGATGGGGCTCGGCTAACCTGCTAATTCAATCAATAACTACCACTTCACCCTCAGAAGCTATCAACACACGTCATCCATGAGAGAGTCATACGGCTGTCAATCGGTTCGTATAAGCAACATAGATCAACAATTATCGAGGCATTTATTGTACCCGTTTTCTTCGAAATAGGTTAAGAGGGTTCAACGCTGCGCTTGAAACAGTTCAGCACAACGGCTAAGGTTACTTCCGGTTCCTAGTCATGTGACCTCATGTGTTTCGGAATCATATCAGTTTTCTTACCGCACCCACTGAATTCCTTTTCTTACCACCATTATTTAACCATCCTTTTGTTCTACGAAACTTGACACACATTTAGACCTATTTTTTAAAACTCTTGATTACAGTAGCCTACAATAGGTCTATCACCCTGAGACATTTAAAATGTGTTTTTATCTTCATAGTTTATTCAATTTCACTCACATTTAGGTAAAAGGTTAATTCACTTTAATAAGTTATTACAAATATAAAGAATTACTGTGTTGAACATTTGCATTCATACTCTCCATTATTAAACCAAATAGTTTACAGTCATTCCATATAAAGCATTAAAAAAATTATTCTTGTCCAAACCTACACAATATAATTCAGTATATATAAGCAAAAATCATCCTATGCATTGACTTAGTTTTATTATTATTATTTTTTTTGTGGCTGAGCAGTAACAGTACTACTGTGGAGACATTTTCTTCTAAAAGTATGTAGTTGCCACTCATCCTCAGTTTGAAGTATCATAATGTTTATCATCCATCAATCAAACGTATAGAGTAGACATTTTTCTGAGGCAATGATATTGCAAATTATGATGATGAAGAAGATTAAAACTTGTGCATCAACTCCATAACAGCTAAAGTTGTGCTCTGGCCAAAGATAAAAGCTCCAGTAATGACAGTCACCACACCCCAACCAGTCAAGAAGATTCTGAAAGAAACAAACAAAATGATAGAGGGAAAGTGTGTATAAGAAAGAGAAAGTGATTTAAATCAATGCTTAGTATTATGAAAATAATTAATTTAGTGACATTAATATAGTGACATCAATTTAATTTTCCTGGCTGTTTCCTCTGGTTTCTTTACACATAAGACAACATAGATGTTACGCACCTCATCCTGGGATTTATAGGTTCTGTCTGCATGGCAAAAATTAGGCACAGTCCTGCAAAAAGTCAGCTTGGTCAATGCCATTTCATGGTCTATTTGTGACTTCTATTTCAAATGCATGTTTTAAATTCATCGAAAAATCTGTGGTTTCCTTAAAAATATTCAATAACCTTAATATTATTGACATTGAGGATAATAAAGAATAAAGATATGTTTCTTGAGCTACAAATCAGTGTATCAGAATGATTTCTGAAGGATCACATGACACTGAAGACACTGAAGAGTGATGATACTGAAAATTCAGCTTTGCCATCACAGGAGCACATTAGATTTTAAAATACATTTAAATAGAAAGGTTATTTTAAATTGTAATAATATTTCACAATATAACAGTTTTTACTGTATTTTAGATCCAATAAATGCAGCCTTGGTGAGCATTATTTCAAAAACATTAAGAAATTTTACCAACCTCAAACTTTTGAATGGTAGAGTATGTGTGCATGCTTGTGAGTTGGTGAGATTGTGATTGTTCCATTGAGTGTCTCACCAGGAAAGATAAATATAAAGAAGGCACTAATTCCCCCGATTACGCTGATGACCTCACTCATGTCTGGTACACAGATGGCGATGAGAAGAGTCACAATGATCCAGAGAAGTGTTAGTATCAGACGGCACCGACTCTCAAACACAGACGTCATTATGGCCCGTCTTTCCCAAAAGCGCAATATTTGTGTTAGAATCACTGACCTGTGAACAAGACATTGACACTTGAGTGTGTGTACACAGTGTGTGTGTGTGTGTGTGTGTGTGTGTGTGTGTGTGTGTGTGTGTGTGTGTGTGTGTGTGTGTGTGTGTGTGTGTGTGTGTGTGTGTGTGTGTGCAGTGAGATATGCACATTTATTTGTAGTTTACAGTACCTTCCCAAAAGCAAAATTATAGGATAGATGGTGATGATCGAAATCCCAAACAGCAGCCTAGCAATAATCATCACTACATCATTTCCAGGATATGACATCAGGATATCTGAGGCTACTTCCCGTCCAAATGTAAGAAAACCGAACACACCTGCCATATTGCAACTAAGTGTCAGTCTCTCAGTTTAAGACAAAAACTCACTGGAAAAAATGTATAATAATAATAATACAGGTAACTAATGCTCTACAAATATGTGCATATCATAGAGTATAGTGATTTGACTCACCTGTGAGAGTATAAATAAGCAGGCAGAAAATCATAGATGTGACTGAGATGAAAACCCAATGTGTAATATTTTTGTTTTCCATGCTGCTGTAGATTGCAATAGAAGCTTCATGACACTGTAATATAAATAATGATTACAGTGTGTGAGCTTTGAGCAATCCTAATGGTCAAAAGTACAACTAAACAGAGAAAGTTGCAAATAGTGCACCAGTGATGTAAAGTAATAAATAGAATCTGACCTGGAAACCAAAACAGATGGTAGGAACCACACTGAACATGGAAGCCAATGAGTCCAATCTGTTACAAATACAAGAACCAAAATAAACCACTGATATGAACAATGTATGCATGCACGCACACAACTTTACGACAAACATGTACATATAACTAAAACTCACCCTTGACTGTGCACTGATGTGAGGTCTGCCGTGTCCTCATCTTTTAAATAATACTTTGCAATTATAGCTACACTCAGGTATGTAGCAGCCAGAGTTCCCAATACACTGGCAATTAAACAAAGAAACGTTAAGAGATCAGAGATAATGATAGATACAGCAGCTCTACTAAGTGGGACAGAAGTGGAAGAGCAAAGGAACTATGCAGTCCTTCTCACTCAGACCAGTGGTTGATGATGGTATTATATGGTATAAAAATATTTAGGGAGTCACAGATTTGTGTGTCAGCATTCAACGCACCTGGTGTATTTCTGGATGCCGATCTCTTTGGGAATAGAGAGTGGAAGGATGATAATGAAGCACATGAGAAAGAGTGCAAAACGGTGATCTGTGTACCAATGATATGGCATCTCTCCTTCTGTGTTTCCCGTCACCGTCTCATACAGAGACAGACACACTGAAACACACAAACAAGGGGAAAAATATCTCTTTGTTTCATTGTCATGTGTATATATACACATTTGTCTGTTACTTCCTCACTCTGAAACATAATGACTCATATTGAACCACACACAACTTACATTTATCCAGCTGATCCTGCACAACCACCAAAAAGGCCACAGAGATCATGAAGAGGTTGAAAACAAAGCAGATCTCGCACAGATGGCCGATCCTCTGTCCGCACACCTCTCGCACCACATCGTGATACGTGTTCTGCCGACTGATTGATGAGGCATAGCCAAGAATGACCAACCCACTTATCAGAAATACCAGAGACACCTGAGAAAGGGAGAAAGATGTTAAATTGCTTTAAACCCCACAATCTACACATTCTTTTTCAGCTGTATCCACATTAGCACTTCCGTGTAAGGCTTTACGTGGGTTGTTTCTTTGCTAAAGGGTTGCATGAACATTAAAGGCCGTTTTTTTTTTCTAAAATACCTACCGCCTTTCATTTCATTAGTGGCACAATGTGAATAGCAGCATCACATTCTCACTCTAATGTGAAAGATACAGACAGAATATAAACTATGCGTTTGTACATCTCAAAATATTTAAGGATATGTAACATGCTTTAATATAAAGTAATCTTTATATTAAATCTTAATCTAAAATTAAGATGAAACAATGAAAATACCAATTCTACTTTGCTCTTTACTGGACAAAACTATGACAAACCAGCCTTAGCTTGTTTGTTGGTCTTAGCTGGTCACTCAGTTGGTTTAGCTGACAAGTTTTTTTTTTAGGATTATACCTGTGCAAGTGCCCTAAAGTATAGCCTAAGTCTTATTTGTCGGAACGTTACAACGCACCATCTCCACACTGATGGCTGTGCTCACGCCGCCGGCCTTTTCAAAAGCCCATGGAAAGTTAAGGAGTCCCGCGCCGAGGGCAGATTTAAGCATGATGAAAATGGCCCCAAATGAGCCCAGCCGCGGGACGTCCGAACCCCGCGCAGGTTTGGATAGCAGACTGATGCTGCGAATACTCTCCCGGGCCAGTTCCTCCATGCTCAGTATGTAAAGACAAAAACAATGCAAGAAGCTTCTCTCTGTAATAATGGAGCGTTATGAGTCCAATGCATCCGCACTTGTCTGCGGTAAAATCACTGTTTAGTAGGCTATAGCGAGTGAGGCTGTCCCAAGTAAGACCCCTTAAAAATGTCATCCCAAGGTGAGAAATATTGTAAAGCCTTGCTAGCGTTTGAAACGTTGGGTTCCGAGTCTAAATGATGGCTCCTCTACAGACCCATGTTAAGAGGAATGTGCTTCTGATTTCACACAGGAGCGACCACAGCAACCTTATCAAACGAGAGCTGCGTTTAGTCAAAGTCCTTTTGTTTAGTCTAAACAATGGGAATTCACGTCAGGACGGTGTTATTTTCTAACAAGAAACACTGCGGCTAAATTCAATTAGTGCTCGTCTTGCGACCCTGTTCGAACCTTTTTGAGCAAATATTCAATTGCAGCGCTCACTTGAGGCACGTGTCTCTTTGAAGGGTCAAATCAGAGTTTGTTTGTGTGACCTTATACTTTTTCGCGTTATTTACATTTCTTTCTTTTTGAAAGAAATTAAATAACACGTATTCACTGCATAGCCTACTATAATTCGGATTTTAAAAATCTAGAAATATGAAGCTATCAATAGAAATTGTTGATGTGGCGCTCTAACAAAGCAAATTTAAACTATTTAAACAAATCAAAGAAATAGAACTTCACAAACAAACTCAGTGTTGTTACATATGTGTGTGAGGCGGTTTTTGAAAATGTAAATTATGTGCAACAAACAAAATATAACAACCCACTGCCCTATCTCGAAATTCCGCCTTGCGTCATGTCACGCCTATGCGACAGATGGCGGTAGAGCAAAACCAGCAGTGTCCTGTCCCATACATTTGATGCACAGAATAAGAACTGAACGGTTTCGCTCCTGAAAAGTTGTGTTTCAATAAACACGTGGGTTTATTGAAAATGCCGTTTGACTCGAGACGTATCCGTGGACCGGAGGAGTCGCAGTCCCCGCTGCTCTTTCTTTCCCCAGACAAAGTTCCCGAGGCCAGCAGCAGGCAGGGCGTCCGAGGGAATGGAGACGTGCGGCCAGTGTTTGCGCGCTGTGGGCTGGTCAGCCAGGCGAAGGGCTCTGCGTACCTCGAGGCTGGAAACACCAAGATCATATGCTCGGTGTACGGACCGAGAGAAATTGAACGTAAGGACGAAACAGACATGAAAACCGGCCGCCTTGTTTGCGACTTCAGGCTCGCGCCGTTTTCCTGTATGAAACGGGGTGCCTGGATCCAAGGCAGCGAGGAACGAGATCTGTCCGCGACTCTGCTCGAGAGTTTGCAGCCAGGAGTTTGCCTCCACAGATACCCACGTTCGCAGATTGAGGTTAATGTCATCGTTCTGGAGAATGACGGCTCGATTCTTGCACATGCGATTACCTGCGCCTCTATGGCCCTGGCGGATGGCGGTATTGAAATGTATGATGTGGTGTTAGGTTGTGCGCTGCGGCAGAATGGAAACACGTGCCTCGTTGACCCATCACACTCAGAGGAGTGTGGGAGCTGGCAGGATGGATACGGGGAGAATCGGGGATGTGTCACCGTGGCTCTGCTTCCCAATCTGAATCAAGTGTCTGGTCTGAATGCGGACGGGGAGATGCGGGAAGACACACTGACTGATGCTGTGAGAACCTGCCTGGACGGCTGTCACAAACTCTATCCGGTGGTACAGCAAGCGCTGACGAGGGCTGTGAAGAGAAAAGCTCCTCCACCTGAGAAATAGACTTGTTTGCCAGGATCTTAAAGTTTTTGTTTTGTTTTGAGGAAAATAAAATTGTAAAACTAAAAGTGAATGTATTGTTTGTGCATGCACTGCTTATCAAAATGTCTACACTTGTGTTACAATGTAGTACCAATTAAATACAGTATCTTCGGTTACAAATATATTTTCTTATCTTTTATTTTTTTTCATTGCACAAGTGTTGATGGTTTTGTATTCAGTAAGTACATTTGCAAATATATAAAAACATGTTTGTAATATGAAGGCTTTTTTTACTGGATAAAAGAAGTAGAAAAGATAAATTCTGAGGCTGATGCTTTGCTGCAGTGTGTGAAATGGTCTGTAATTAAAAGGGTGAAACAGTACAAATACATACAAAGTAATTTAAAAAAACTGCCACTTTGGAACGTGAATATTCTCATGATAAAGTTCTTGAATTTCTAGCATGTTTTGGCAAACAAATTACAATACCACACCCATTAAAATAATGACAAAACTAAAACCTCTTGCTAAGTGTGTCAATTGAATAGTAAATAAGATTGTGCTCAAGCAAATCAGCGCAAACTTGAACAGACTTGTATGTGACTGAATTATACATACATTGTTATGCAATGCATGTTTAATTGTGTGACAGCATGCTGGATTATGAGGTAATGAATATGTATAGTTGAGAATGTGTTTGATTCCTGCACTGTGTGAGTGCTCTCAAGCACGTTTCAGTATAATGTTTGTGATTTCTGAACGGCTTGCAATTCTCATTGGAATGCCATAATAACCGGTTCCAGAGGTCACGTAGACCATGGTGTGTTCAGAGACACGGTAGAGTCCACAGAAAAATGGATTCATCAGGAATGCCAGGATGGTGAGGGGGAACAGCTGACCAGCGTGTGTGTGACCTACACAAACGCAAAATTGCATTTTATTGGTCAGTAGAGGACATAAGAAGTATACTCCTAAATTTTCACTAACAAAAAAAACAAAGGCATTTTGTTTACCACAATATTTTAGCTGATATTTACATACCTGAGAGTACCAGGCTGATGTCTGGCCGTTGCTGGAGGGCCTGTTTGGCAGCATGAGGCTGATGAGCAAGAAGAATAATAGGGCTCTCTGCACTGCAGCCACTAAGAGCTTTCTCAACATCCATGCCATGGCCTGGGTATCTTAAACCAAAACAACACTACTGACATGAGCCCAGTGCAAAGCACATGCACAAGATTTGCATACATTCAAATGAGCCTGAGATTATATCACTGGACTGACCGTAACATGCGGGCCTCGAGGTCATCAATGCCGGCAAGGCAAATCCAGTCTTGAGTCCGTTCTGGGCGGAACACTTTCACATTGCTGTTGTGAAGAGACTCAATCCCCATTGAGCGCAAGAGCTCAAACCAGCCTTCAACATCAGCAGTGTAATAGTCATGATTGCCTGAAAGTCACACAGAAATGCATGTGAAAATGTGCACAAAAACATTTATTTACATAAACGATAATTTTCCTTTATGTCATTCAGCCACAAGGACTGACCTGTAGCAAAATAGGAGCCCAGCCGAGCTCTCATCTGTCCCAGTGGTTCTGCAGCGCTCCTTAATCGAGTTACCTGAGAGTCAGTCAGATCACCGACAATCACCACTACATCTACAGCAACAAAGAGTACAATTAAATGTCAGGTACATGTTAAAGGGATAATCCACCCAAAAATGAAAAATTCTGTCATCATTTGCTCACCCTCATTCCGATTCCTAATCTGTCTTCTGTTGAACATGAAGATATTTTGAAGAATGCTGGTAACCAAATAGTTTTGGTTCCCATTGACTTTCATTGTATGGATCAATAAACCAAAAATAAAAAAACAGTGGAAGACAATAGGAACCAAAACTGTTTCCCAACGTTCTTCAAAATATCTTATTTTATGTTCCACAGAAGAATGAAAATCATATGTGGTTGTAATAACATGAGGGTGAGTAACTGATGATCTTATTTTTGGGTGAGCTCTCCCTTTAATATTTCAAACATTAATCTGATACAAGATGTAATTACCTGGGTTCAGCTCATTCACCATAGTCACAATGCGCTGCAGTTTGGAGCGGCCTACTGTAGGTCCAAGATGTATGTCGGACAGAAGCACCAACCTGAGCCCGTTCAAAGACTCGGGCAGCTTCTCTACTGGTATCTCCACCTCAATTACTCGTGGAGGTTGGGCTGCATTTACCAACCCATACACTGCCAGTATTGCTGTTACTATCAATGCCAACACTGTCTGGCTGGCTGATGCGCTCGCGACCGCATCCTCTTCACCTCGCCTGCGGGAGAGAAGCCTGCGAAGGCGGTTTAGGCAGCCAAAAACAAACAGGAAGAACAGTAGGATGACATAAATCCCCAAACAGGAAAAACTCAAAATTGAAAACCAGTGTGGCTCAGTATCCACGAGGAAAAACATGCATAGGTAACTCCCGTGCACGAGAGTGAGAAAGAGCAGGACAAGAAGACGCCAACATCTCTGCGGGACAGAAGGAGCACCTCTGGTTCCGCACAGTCGCCTCCCCACGCGTTTCCAGATGTAGAGCGAGCCGAGGAGTAGCAGGGAGTTGATGAAGAGGAGAAACTGAACACGAAACAGCGAAGCGCGCGTGCCTATGTCAACCCGCTCCGAAATTAATGTTCTGGACATGAGCATTGAGAAAAAAACAACTCCCGACGCGATTCCGATTTTCCCCTCTGCGGAGAGGCGTCCAAATCCAAACATACTGACTGGCATGTGCTCGGTCACTGACCCTGGGACAGTCTATTACAAACAGGGTGCATTCATTCTTGGCACGCTATAACGTATAATAATGATAAAAGAGTTCGTCATACCTTTCAATTCACGGTCCATTCAAGTAAAAATAAACGTTATTATCTTAACTGGGACACTGGAGAACAAAACTACTTCCGCAGACAAAGACGTGTGATGGCCGCGATGATGACAACATGAAAAATACTGTTGTGGTTTCCGACTAGAAAGGTCATACAGACATTTGCTACACACTCAAACTACAAAAGCGTCCATAACATAATTCGCGATCTTGTAAACAAATGAAATATAAACACGCCAGTCATTTGACAGCGTCTCTTCAAGCTCTTCTGCGTGACAAGTGTGTGCGGTAATATCATTGGCTCGTCACATTACAGAGGCGTGGCTAATGTGACGCTCTTAATCCTGAAACGAACTGTTATTAACTGACAACATGAGTAACCTGTTAGTAGGCCTGTTAGTTCTTAAAGTTTCTACATTAAAACACAATTTCCTGTCTCAGTTTATGCTTTTGTTCAGCATAGGCTACTTACGTTATCACCCAAGAATGTTTTTTTTTATTGTACCTTTATTTCCAACTGTCACTCCAATTACTATTCACTAAATGTTCCAGTATTCTTTTTTCATTATTATTTTATTTACATTTTGAAGCTATTTATTTGTAAGGTCAGAAAACTCACGAGTTCGATAATGTGATACAACAAAACATCCTCATTTGGATTTATTATTAAATTAATTTTAAATAATTGATCATTAATAAATATCTAAGGTTGATGTTCCTGGAATAAAAATGTCAGGTTGTATTTTTACTTTTTTATTGTCACACAGTGTCAAATAGAAAGTGTAGGCCTATACATACAAAACTGCATTTAAATTTTAGGAATGGGGACCCTCATCATTTTTGGAGGCCCTTGACATCAAATGTTTGAACCGCCATGATCTAGGTTCCTAAACCAGAAAGCACACACCTTATATGCATTCAAATGTTGGTAAGCAGCATAGCACCATGCAAGAGAAAGGAACTGTGTGAGAATTTTTCAAATTCGTTTTCTGAGGTTTGCAAGCTGCTCTGTTCTTACCATTTAGCCCTGCTATTATTTCCTATCTTGTGTATAGTGTTCATGAGTGCATCCTGTGTGGATAAGAAACGACTAAAAATACACAATTTTAGCTCATAAATAAGCACAACAAATGCATGAGTACACGATAGAATTGTTTTTATTGTTAAAGAAGCACAGTGTCACAGCGCATACCACAGCCTTTCATTTGCAGCAGCTTGTGTCGCACGATTTCTCCTTGTCCTTGCGCGCGCTCTCGCAGCCCTTCGTGCCCTTATTACTGGATTCAGATGGACAAGTTCCGCAACCTACCGGGTCGAAAAGGGCAAAATTGATTTAATTCTGCAGAACTCTCTCTGGGTGAAGTGATGTTTAATTATCCAAAGCGTTAGTTATTCGACTCACTTTTCTTGCTATGTGCGCACGCGCAGTTGGTGCATTTGCAGTTTTGCCCGCAGTTACAAGATCCATCTACAAAAGAAAGAGGCCTTACATTTCCAGAAGATGCGTGCGCGCCACCCCATTTCTTGCTATCATTACTTAAATTACATACATATTTATATTTAGATTATGTACTTACTTTTAGAACAGTCACACGGGTCCATTTTCCCACCTTAATTTCAACGAATGTATTCTTGGAAAAATCTGTCTGGAAATGGAATCGCTCGTTCGTGCGTCACAATCACGTGTGAGCGTCATATGAAGAGTGTGAGCGCGCTGATGGATGAACTTGGGATCTCATTCTGTAGTCATGTGGGCATTAGACAAATATAAAAGGAAAGCCAGGCATCCCAGCAAACAATTTAGATTACCAGACCGTTCTGGGAACGTTAGTTTTTGGTTAAAATAAACCTCCCTGTAAAGTTCTGGGAAGCTTGGTTTTGGTTACAAAAAGAGTCTAAAAAATGTCCCCAGGACGTTCATATTTGGTTCCCAAAAGTAACTAAATGGGAACCATATTGTGAACTTTAGGGGAGCGTTCTGTATTTGCTGAGATATTATAATATTATTCTCTTTCACACTGGTGTTATTTGATCTATTTATGTTACTACTGTACTGTAATTATAATTATTGATAACTGCAGGTTAAAATACACTAACCATGTCAAGGGAGGGACAAACAAATCAATGCACAGCCAGTAGTTGGTGCTAAAGTGTTTTCTTTTTTAATGTAAACATTTCATTGGTCGGTCAGAAGACTAAACCCAGCAGTACAGTGCAGTATTACCCCAAGGGAGTAAAGGAGAACATTCAGTGCACCAAACAAAAAAACTAAAAAATCATCCACAGCGGAGAAAAAGAGGAGGGAAACGGGAAAAGAAATCTGGGTTAAGTAACAGGTCATGGTTGAATAAAGAGTGTGCATGCATCACACACACGCATCTGTACACACTCTCACACGTCATTACGTCATCAGTTGAAGAGAGAGAGATAAAAAGAAGCGATAGCTCATTCGTCCAGTAATTCAGTTATATATGAGTCTGAATTACAGTCTTAATATTTATGCTGTTCTCAATCTAAAGTCTGCAAGCTAGTTCGTTTGTATTCGTAGCCCGACATTGATAGGGTGCACAAAGTGTGGGGAGATACAAAATATGTAAATACATGCGCTTATAATTATATAAATAAATAAACTACAGAATAATTTATACAGAAATGAACATTTTTGAACTATTTGTGCTCATGTTGAGTGAGAATGTTGTCAACATCACACTTTGTAAGAGGCTTCATTTGCTGAAAGGCATTTTATGTCACAGCCTGAAGCCAGTAAGCAGACCCAATAAGGGGCGATGCCAGGTCTCAAACAACTTTGGCTTAAGAGCTGCCCCTGGACAACATTCAGTTTCTGAAATGACATTCGGCTCTGCTAAATGATTCACCTTATATCTTGCTCTCAGTCACAGACATGTCTGGATCTTAAGAAAAGCCTACAAGAGCCACAGATCCTTTCAGGGTTTAGTTTAAGATCATGTCAGCACTTGGAAGTCTCTTACACAGCAGAGAACCGTTGTGTGTTATCACCTGACAAACACTCTCACTCGTTGTGACTGACACTCACACACATGCACTCATGCTTAAAGCATCTATGCCCGGCCAAACACTCATTTTACACTATACATGCACACCCATACGTTATTTACTCCAGCAATGGACTGACAAACTACAAAAGAAAATAAGGGATACATGTTCTGAACAAAAGACAAAAATTGACAGAGTGAAATGAAATAAGGGAGTGCCTTGGCCAAAGTCACAGGGGTGTCAGTTCAGTCACTTGTTACCATTTCGAAGGGCAACAAGTGGAGTCGAAGCTCAGTAGAGGCCACAGCCACGCAGGTTATTGGCGATGATGATGTCAGTAACAGCATCAAAGACCACTTGGATGTTTCCTGTGTCTGTAGCGCAGGTTAGATGACAGTAGATCTCTTTATTAGGAGAGCGATTCTTGCTTTCAAACTGACCTTGTATATACGTAGCCGCGGCTTCGAATGTATTTGGGCCTGTCGGAAAGATGAAGACATGATGAGAAGAAACTCATGTTGAGTTTTCAAGCCTTTTTCATACTTGTATAGATTTGTGCATGGTTGTTGTACCTGTGTATTCTGGGAAGCAGATATTCAGGGGAGATTTTACAATCTTTATTTCAAAAAGGTCCTTCTTATTGAGGAAAAGGATGATGGACGTGTCAACAAAGAACTTATTGTTACATATAGAGTCAAAGAGCATAAGAGACTCATGCATACGGTTCTGCAAAGAAGAGAGAGAAGACACTGAATCAAACATATTTGCATTTTTGGAACTGAATAATTAGCAAAAAAAAATCTATACATTTTATATTAAAAATACATTTTTCATAAAACAAATATATGGTTGGTAAAAACAGTAGGATTCCTCAATAATTTGGTGATTCAAATCAATTTTAGGTTGACCGTCAAGGGATTGTTTTAGAGAACTTATTGCATAAAGTTAATTTATGTCATATGTGATAATAATGTGACAAATGTCATAATGTGAGTATGCAAGCTGTCTAAATGATCTGAGTGTAGTAGTTCACCGTGGTCTCGTCTTCATGGAGCATTTGGTCGTATCCACTCATTGCCACACAGAAGATAATGGCTGTCACATCCTCAAAGCAGTGAATCCATTTTTTCCTCTCTGATCTCTGTCCCCCCACATCAAACAGCCTGGGGACGAAACATCACACACTTTCAGGACACATGTGAAGCCATGTACACGCATGTGTGCACACACACAAAACATTATCAAATCAAGTCCAAACTCATAATGCATGTTAAGAAACAAAATAGGTCGACCAAAGATTTTAGATTTGTCCCATCTAAAAGAGAATGAAAAGAAATCTTAAATTTCCAATTCCTTATGTCATTTTCACAAATAGACTTTGAGGACAATTATAAAGACTTAACATCTGAGTGCTATTTTTTATTCAACAAAATATTCCCAGTATTTTTTTTTTTTAATTAAAATGTTTAAAAAAAACTTTTAGAATTTAAAGATATGAGTCAAGTCAGATTTGTATAGCATTTTTTTTTTTTTTACAATAAACCGTTTCAATGCAGCTTTGCAGAAACTCATATTAACAGGTTTATAATGTCTTATAATTTACTAAGCAGTTTTGAGATGGGTGATATGACAATATACATATATTGATGAACCAGCTGAGATTCAGCTCTATATATTTACTAATATTATGCAGATATGAGTTTGATAAGGTGCTATAACATTGTAACATCGCTAATATTGAGAGTGTTACAGATACAATCATACAAACATGATACAAACAAAAAACAAAAAAATACAAACATGCCTTTAGGAGGTGCAGAAAAATCTTACAATCTTATTTTTAAATTCACAATAAATAATACATGTAATTCACAAAAGAAATGCATAACTTAATAGATACCTAAAGTTAAGGTTCTTGAAGGAAAAATTTGTCTCAACGATGCCAGTAGTTTTGACTCTGGATCGGAGAATATCCTGTTCAGTGGGGAGGTAATCTGGAGAGCCAATGCGCTGCAAACTGTCTAGGTAACTGAAACACAGAGCGTCCATGTGCATTCTTAAATAACGTGTTATGATATATAGGGTGTTGAACATTACACCTGACAGTGACATGCTCATTGCACCATCTCATTACATTTGTGTGTGTATAACAGAGGGACTCACTATTGGGCGGAGTCATTAAGCTGATACTCTCGAGAACGGCCAAAGCAAGCTTGAGTTCCAGCATCAGTCCAAAGATGTATCATGGCAGCCAGCAGTTCTGTTGAGTATGGCTCTGTGTCTTCCATTCGACCGACCACATCAAATACCATCTTAGCATCTGCCTATAAACATATGCAAAAGGTTAAAAACATCCTGTTTAATGCATATAATGTGCACTAAGTGTGCACTGCTTTGGCAACCACAATGATTTTTCCTAATTTCATGCACTAGGTGTCACTGTAACTCAGTGCATCATGTGAGAAGGAGGGTTTGGGTAATACAAGGTGAGGTCAATCACCAGGAAAATCTAATGCAAACATTAAAGAACACTGCAAATCAAAACAAGCGTGCACAGCTACATTAACAGTAGGTACATTAACTGTTGTGTTCTGTTTTCTTGTATTATTGTATCAATACAATTATATTATTAAGAATAAAGAGGTTAGAACAACTTTTAGATTCAGTAATTGCTTTGAAAATGTTTGAGGATCAAACAATAAAACATTTATTGCATCTGAATATTTACGGTAATCTTCTTCTATCACACCACTTGCACTCCATTATCTCTGTGTAGTGTATGAGTTCTAAAGTCAGTTCACAAGAGTGTGTGCTGCATGTGTGTATACATACATATCTGTCCTTGTCTGCGTACTCTATACCAAGAGTTTCCATGGCTCGCAAGATGGAGGCGAGGCTCTGAAGGGTGTTGCTAAAGACCACAGGTTTAAACAGCTTTACATCATCTCCAGAGAACCCATCTTCATGGATAATCCTGACGCAAACACACAACAGAGAAAAGCCATTATAGACACACACGCACCATACAAACACGACAGGTCAACAGAACTGACACAATAATGCACATATATCTGTATGACTGGGTCTGGGATATGTGGTGGCAAAATAAGTATGATTAGAGATGATGCAATAATCTGTTTTGCGCTTCTACAGGTTGCGTAGCACAAGTTGTTGGTCACTTTAATATTTTAAACCACAAGTTAAACTGTAACTATGCAATAACTGTATAACTGTAATAAAAAAGTTAAACTGCAACTAGTAACAGTGTATTTATAACCTCAAAATATATTGAAGCTCTGAGATATAGTTGTGTGTGCTTAGAAATAAAAACTGTGCAATGATGCTGGTGCATTTAAAATGATCTGTAAAATGGTATTTTATTTAACTAGGCATTTAATAAAACAATGCATTTGGTGAAAAATGCGATGATTGTATATGTATGTGCATCTGTAGTTATGAAAATGTAAGGTTAGGTGGCATAGTCCCGGTAAATCCGTTTAATGGGCGGATAACGCTAAACGAGACTGCAGGGATCAAGCACTAAAAGCCACCCATTAAGATTAATACAGAGAAAGATTCTAATGCCTCACACACACAAACGCTCTCTCTCTCTCTCTCTCAAGCACACACAGAGGGCAAAATGAACACAAGGCCCTAATGCATAACATGAAATAACACACGAAAACCGGTCCCAGATTGAATGCAATGACAAAAACGTGAAACATTAAGGAACTTTGGAGCCCAGGACGGCAAAAACAACGGCAAGGCACACGCGCACTCTCAAGCTTCACTGCACACATGAGACTAACACTCACTCACTCACTCCCTCACTCACAGCGCTGTCTCTTGGGGGGTTGTGTTTCAGCACTACCACACAATGAACAGCGCGAGACAAACAGTTCCCAACCCTTAACCGCCCCAAAAAAAGGCCCAAAATCACTGAGTATGTTAAAAAAAAACGCACTTACTTCATCTGTTTGACGATGGTGCTCTTCCCCGACTCCCCTCCGCCTGCGGAGACACAGGCTGTGTCAGTGCTGTCACACACACACACACACACTTACCTGCAGCATCCTTAATCAATCCACTCATTGCAAATCGGCCAGTGAAACCTCACGACTTACCCAGCAGCAGTAATTTGACTTCTCTGGCTGCGCTTAATCCGTCTTCCTTCAGGTTTTTCTCGATCGCTCTGCTCCGGTCCAGAGCCGCGCGCTCCTCGGCACTTAACGTGCATCCCATTGCAAGACCGGGAGTCGGGACGCGCGAGAGCTGAATCCTAAATATCCGTCTCTGTCCCACAATCTCTCCTTTCTCGCTTGCTTAGTCTGCCGTATGTTGCTAAAGCATCCAAGCCGAATTGAGGTCAGGAACAGGCTCACACTCCGGCCTCTTGGTTGGGAGGAGGTCGTCCTGCTCGCGCTCCGGATCGAGGGTGTCTATTGGGCGGCGGCAGTGACAGCCTGCACGAGCTCGTCTCATCCTGTAGTTCCCTCCTAATGCGCGAGGGGCAAACCCCTCTCATCGCGCTGACGTCACAGGAGGAGCAGGGCTCGGCCACATCTGTTTTGTGGCAGTCGAAATAAAAAGCACTCAGCTTGCTTGATATATGTGTAGACATATTGGATATTTCCCACGTTTTTGCACATTTATTTTACTTATCTTTTTATGTTTTGTGGTGTTACAGCAGCCATGCAGGCCTATTTATGTATTGTGCATTGTGCATTGTGCAGAGCCTTCCTCCACTGGGTGGCTGTTTCAGCATGGTGATATGGTTGCCATGTTTGGATGCTTCTAATATTTTGTATTTCAATAAAAAGAAAAATCTCTAAAATAAAAATTTTGTTTTCAATAATTTTGTGAAGTGTTTCTTATTAGGGGCTTAATTTATTCAATAATTTATTTAATACAATTAGTATTACTTTTAATTTAAAATAGTTAATAAAACAATCATGTTCTTTTCCCAGTCTATAGATTGGGAAAAGGTCCAGTCCTTTAATTTGACTGGCTTTGAGCTGGGTTTCTGGGTTGCTTGTCCACTCACATATTCCATTCCAGACCGGCTTTTAGTCTGTGCATCACTTGGACTCTGAAACATGCAAAAACGTTAGTCAATATCAATACATAACTGTTGTATAAATGTATTTGTGTGTGTGTGACTCTCACCCAAAAATGAAAATTCTGTCATCATTTACTCCCCTTAAAGTTGTTCTAACCCTGTATGAATTTCTTTCTTCTGCTGAACACAAAGGAAGATATTTTGAAGAAGTTCTGTGTTTGTTAGTTTTCTTTTTTCATATTATGGAGGTCAATGGGGCCCATCAACTGTTTGGTTACCGACATTCTTCAAAATATCTTCTTTTATGTTCAGCAGTAGAAAGAAATGCATACAGGTTTGGAACAACTTGAGGGGGAGTAAATGATGACAGAATTTTCATTTTGGTGAACTATCCCTTTAAATGCACCAACACAATAATGGGACAGATCATATATAATTATATTTAGCCTATGTGTATGAGACATTCAAAAATGTCTATATCACAAAAAACTATTCTTGCAGAATTGCATTACCTTCAAGATTCCTGTGATCTTCTCTAATGCCTCACCAGTTTGATCAGTCATTCAATAACTTCTTTTTTGTGCAGTGATGCTTTTAACTATTACATTCACATTTATGTAATTGGAAGATGCTTTAAACAACTTAAAGTGCATTCAAGATAAGCATTTTAAAAGTATACATTTTCCCTAGGATCCAAACCCATAACCTTGGTTTTGCATGAGTTCTACCAGTTTTATTTATATAAAAGCATCCACAACAATGGAGCACAGATATTCAAATATATAATAAAAATGTTCATCCCCAACCCAATCCTCCCCACACACTCATAGTCTTACAGCTCTAAAAGATTCCTGTGGATTTCTCTAATACCTAACCCCTGGCATATGAGCCAGATGTTCTGATGTTGGATTTCAACACATGATAATACTTTAAGAGTTTGTGCTTCAGCAACTGTTATATGGGTGAAATGCTTTGAAAGATGAGATCACTCTGTGAGTTTTTAATATCTACTAGTAGTGCAAATCTCTGGAAATCTTAGGATATCCTCTCTCATGACTTCAAAATAAATGCATGCACATACATAATCATTTCACACTTAGAAACTGTATTATTATTTGGCTTTGTTGGGGAGACTGTCACTATTTGCACTGAAGAATATAAAGTGCATTTTAATATTCTGAAATTTTATTCGGAAAATTCACATAACAGAAAAATGCATAGACCTCTAGGTAAAGATGAATATCTGACTGATTCTTTGAAATGTGCCCATGGGGAGGGGAGAATGGAATACATAACTTTAGTTTTAAATTCATGTCAAGCCCAGCCCTAACTGCAAAGGACTGTTCACTTTCTGAACACACCAGTGACACACACAGGTCACTCTGATGGATTACTTTACTAAGATAAGAGCAATATCGAGCCACATAGCCTGCTTAACATGCTTTTATCTTTATTACCAGGGTGGAGACAAAATCACAGACCCTCCTCCATAAGCTATTACGTCACAAGTACGTTGAAATATCATTGCATAATCATATGTGAGTAGCGTTTATATTTTGAGTGAAATAAACTAAGGAAATCTCTATATTTTTGCAAAATGAAATCCTAAATAAAACATTTAACAAAACGCGATCAGGCATGTAACAACAGAACTTGTTGAGTAACATTTTCTCTGGTATTTAATCACCAGGTTTTTCGTAAATGAAAATGTTAGATTTCACTCTAGAAAACGACTAGGAGCTTCTAAATCCGCCCATAACTAAAATGAATATGATCTCTTAACCATGTAATACTTTAATGGCAGGTCTGCATAATGCTTTAATGGAGAAAGGCCTCATCCATTTCATTAATCTGACCGCCCTCAACAGATACCATTAAGCTAAAATTAATTTCTAAGAATAATGGCATCTCATATCGTATTAGAACACAATCAGATCCAGATGTTGACTCTTTTCATTTTTGTCCAACTGATTATTTGACTAATGACACAACTTTATTACACCTACACCTTTTTCTTAGATAAAAAAAAACAAACAAACCCGGAAATCTTCATTTTTATCAGCAAAAGACTAAGTAGTAATTCCCTATTGTAAGGTTGGTGTTTATTTATAGAACTGCAGAATATTGATTTCAGGATTGAATTTCCAAAAGCAATATACATTCCACAGGGGTTCTTTAATAATGCCTCATCTCATATTTATCCTTCCTAGTCTTTTTTAAAAAATGAGATCAATATAGTTGACCTATACTCAGAGGACCAGTTTTATAATCAGATTAAGCATGCCTTTGGACTAGAAAGCAGTTGATTTAGAAACATTATTATGAAAGTAATCTATAGTTCAGTAATATCCTCAATATGCATAACAGGAATTTGGTCCTCAGAATTTAATTTTTAAAGTGGTTTCAAGCTCTGCGTTTCCAGTTGTCTTTAATGTATGAGTGATTTCATGTATTGTACTGATAAAAAGGCAATCCATATTAGCTCTGCTGTAGCAACGGTCCTGCTACACTAAGTGCCTTCTAACAAAAACACTGCTTCCTTCAATGCTGAGGGCAATTCAAAGTTCTTGAAGTTAAAGTGATGCTGTTTTTAGCCTCTCCCGTTTGGTGCTCTTATGCACATAATGACTCTAAGATAAAGATGCAGACAGGACAGTGTGGAGGAAAAATCTGGAAACATGCATGAAAAACCCTTTATTTAAAATGCTTTTCATTTTGGGCAGATGACAGGTGATTGTGAAACAATTTCAAGTAGGAAACAGATCGAAATTATAAGGTCATGATGAAAAAAATTCACAAAAATGAGAGTGCACACTCTTCAAATGTAGCTATATGTCTTGGTAACAGTCACACGTACAAAAACAACACACACACCATTCATTCATTCTCTTACAGTCTCAATCTCGTGGCTGAATGCCCAACATGATCTCTGCAATGCTGGTCAATTTGGTCTCCTCTAGTGCACTGATAAGACGGCTCAGTTTGGCACTCCTGCCCTCTGACTGGATGAAACGTCCAAGCAGTTGATAGGCCTGTTCATAAAGCCCTTCCCTCTCGTACTCATAGGCCAGATTGTCGATAGCAGGACCTTTTAAGGCACGGCAGTTCTTTTGTAAAGCCCGTCCCACTCGTTTCCAATCCCGTCCCACATGAGCAGCAAACCGTTGCTGGTCTGCTGAAGTCAAAGGTCTATCATCTAAGATAGGGGCGGAGGAGAAAAAAATATTTCAAACATTTTGAACATGAAAACTAATCTGTGATCATAGAAATAATACAAATGTAAATTTTTTAAACAAAAGCTATACACCCAGTAATGCATCATCACATACATTTAAATACTTAAAACTCACCGAAAACTCTTTTCTGAAACAGAAAGCAGTTCCTGGGGAGCTCCTGCGTTGGTTGACTGGGAGGACCGTAGCTGTTCTGCAGCTGCTGCTCCAACTGTGTGACCTCATCATCTCGCAAACGCACAGCCTACAAAACATCATCTGTCAATTCAACTAAAAGCACAGTATTCAAAAACATGTTTGAACCATTATTTTTTAGAAGGTAAGGCTCCCCCAGCAGCTGTTTAGTTCAAACAAAAGAGATTTAACTTAATTCCACTGGGAGCTTTACAATAAAGATATTCTCTCACTGTTTTCATCAGAGCAAGACTGATACTTCAGACTGGTTCAGATACCACCATATTTCTACTGAAGAAAAAAGATGTTTGCAGACACAAAGTCCATGATGATATCAGGACAGAGAAGGACGGCTTTATAGAGCAATACATTTAATATTCTGCAATATTATTGATTTGACTGCACTGACACTATCGGATGAGAACTGGACTGAGCTGGATGATGACATCATATCTTTATAGAGGAACTGAACTCATTCCATAAGTGATGAACTTAACACAGTTATTGAACTGAACTGAATCAACACTGAACTGATTTCAACTGAACAATGGAACTATTGTCTTTCTAAGCTGCTTTACAGCAGAACTGAATTCTGTTTGCATCATTGATCATTATTTACCCGTTTAACACTGTAACGCTGCTTTGAAAACAAACTTTATGTGCTATATAAATAAAGGTGACTTGACAATACAAGCAGTCAGAGGCCTTTTGCTTATACCCCTGATGTCAGACCTGACTAGTTTGGGCATAAGATGGCTCATGAGAAGTCACTTTGTCAAAGGGCAAACTGAATTCATTTCAGTGGTGTGCTTTATTTTAGTGCCATTTGTTTGTTTTTTCAGCAACAAACTCTGAAATCTCAGTCTGCCAACAAGCATTTCTGATTTTACATTAGTGAAATGTAAAATAGGGAATGAAAAGGTTTGACAAAACCCTTGTGAATAATTAACCAAATGTTTACTTGCAGGTGAGCCTGAAAAACTTAAATCAAAGAGCTTCACATCTCCAACAATTTAAATACTAAAACTGAATCATAGTTCTGTTCTGACAGGGTTGCAGGCAGGAGAAAAAACAGGCTAAATGCAAATGATAAAAATGCAACCACATAATTGTAGATAGATTGACAATATAGAAAAATAAATGTGCTTATCGACATTTAAAAAGGAGAAATGCTTCCCATGCCTTTTGTTGATGACTTCAAGTCCACGCAATTAAACTCTACAGCACAAATTAGGCTTGACAGTTGTGTGACATCCGCTTATCGTCAAAACATTCAATTTAGAAGGCAACTGAGTCTATTTTAAAAATGTTATATTCATTTCAACCAATATTTTTGTTGTATTCATGTTAAGAATACATTTCAATGTTTGATTGCATGGCAGTCTGGTTTTGTGTTAAATCTCCACTTAAAATGTCCAAAGTGAAATCAAGGTACTGAAGCTACAGCTGAGAATCATTGCACCAAAATGAAGCTTTTTAGTTGTTTTCACTGTCATTGAAACATAATATTACAATACTGTTACTTGTAACAATTTAAATTGTTTAACTTGCTTACACTACACAGTTGTTTCCACCACCACATTTCCCACACAACCATAGTAAACTGGTTTAAGAACAGTACATACGTTTTAACATTCACATATGTTATTTAGTATAGAAAACGTGACATGGAGGCAGTGGTTTGAAACATGCTTGTATGACCAAATCAACTTATCTTCGTTCTATGAACCTGTAGTTTCTTCTCAGAGCTGAAAATGTCAAGAACATGCTCAATTAACATTTCTTATGTGCTGTCCTGATTGAAGCTGTGAATTATAGCAAAATCAGAGGCTCATAAAGCCCCTCCTGAATCTGGGAATTCCCAGCTCCATTTACACTAATGACCTTTTGGCCTAAATATGAACTTTAACTAAATATAAATCATCCTGAAATTTATTTTTAGAAAAGAATCATAGGATATTCCCCACTCAAGACTTAAAAATAAATGCACATACATAATATTCACACACTTAAAAACTATGTTATTCTTTGGGTTTATCAGGGAGATTGTCAGTGTTTGCACTGAAGAATAAAGTGCATTTTAGTATTGTGAATATTTGATGCAGAATGGAAGATGCAATTAGCTGCTCGTAAAGACCGGTACAAAGCCTGGCGATCAGATCACCATAATCATACACACGTACCTGTGATTGGCGTATGTGATCCAGACAGATCTCTAGGTCTTGAAGATTTTGGTCCAGTCTATGCATTCCTGCCTTGAGCTGTGTTTCCATGACAACCCCATCAAGAAGAGTAAGAAGACGTGAGGCATGCTGGGACAGAAACTGAGCGAGTGAACCACATGCATAGCTCTCCAGGAATCGCTGACAGGGAGGCACGGACATGAATTTAAGTTCCACCCCAAGGAAGGGATCAGCATCATGCAGTTTTAGGATTTCGTACCCCTCCAGTCCACCAACAGAATCTGGATCGAAGACAATTAGAATAGCATAATTTGCAACCCAAATACGTTGTTAAATCTACTGTATACACAAAACGCCATACTCTTTTAATTCCGGTATAACTTGATATGCACTTGGAGGCCAGTACTATAAACTCTTACCTGTAAGGGTGAGTTTAATAACCTTGAACACACTGAATTTCCCTTGTTCGTTTTTGTAAAGTGATAGAAGGTTGTGTTCTGGACTGCTACACCCCAGGAAGAGTACAGCACAGCCTGAAAATTCACGATCATTGGTGTTGCTGTCATTTAACCTCTGCAGATGAAGATGAAATCATTCACACACATTGTTAATTCACATACAACAACATCAACCGGACAGATACAAAATTAAACACAATGTACCTTGGTGTCTATACTGTCCATCTTCTGGTCAAACTCTTGTCTCAAGTCCTGTGAATGTGAACAAACAAATTAGTCAGTAAAACACAGAAAGAAATTGTGAAAACAAAGCAGAATTCCTTGTAGATCTAATTAGACTAGCACAAAAAACATTATTTTGTGTTTCCAGCATGTAACCACTTCCTTATAAGGTTGCGAGTTTGATGGTCGACACTGTTAAATAAATGGGGTCAGACGTTGGTGATTGCTACAGATATGCGATGCACATGTTTACAGGTAATGTGATGCGTCACATTACAAACTTTTAATTATTATTTAACATTTTTGAGAGGTCAATGGATAAAACATATACAAAAGCTCGCTCGCACGTCTCGTGGCGTTTATTTCTATAAATTTTACTGTTCATGTGAACAAAAGTTTAACATAACACAACCCTGCTTACCTCCACTTCACATAATAGCGAATTTAAAACCTGCGCTTTGTTATATACATTACATGTTACTTACACAACGATTTGGTGAACTTTGTCTGAATGGTAAGGAAGTCTAAACAGGCCTGTAAACATACACGAAGGAAACTTTCGAGGTGTCGATGCACCGCTACTAAGACACACCCACTAAAATATACAAGGATCTGATTGGCTAAATGTCTCGCACATTCTATGGTGATTGGCTAAAAGCTCGACATCTGTGTTCACCGCCGTGTTTAACAACGGAACTCGTGACGCAGGAGGAAGTACAGAAGTTTGAGAACGTATATGTTTTTTTGGAGTCTCTGACAGACATGCATGCAGACAGCAGAATCATCTGAGGTGTTTTTTGTTATGATATCAAATAACCTTTTTGTAAGCGTATTTTAACTGGCGGCTGACTGGGCTCGATTGGTAATGGAATGGATCTGCCAGAAGAGATCCTTGCACATATTTTTTCTTTCCTGCCTTTACAGGACAAATGCAACGCATTTACTGTTTGTAAGGCTTGGTCTAATATCATGACACATCCAAGCTCATGGAGAGATACTGAAGTCAGGTAAGAATCCATGACATACAAGGAAACCCTCCTAGAGAAACATTTTATTACCAAGATGTTGCACTTTTGTATCTTGAGAAACGTAATGGAGATCTTAATTATATTGCAAGTATCAACTTTGTCTCATGTTTCTCCTAAGAATTCTCAGGAGAAATAATAATACATACAGAGTTGACTTTATAACTAGAAACACAACCCTAAATTATAAATTTAATTTGATGAGAAATGTTAAAATTTATATAATTTTTTTATTTACTTTTGGTTGCAGACTGATATCTTGGCAAATCAGAGCACATTGTTGAGATCTTCTAAAATTGTTAGAAACTAATGTGAGATTTCTGAGGTGTGAGAACATTTGAGAAGCAGGTGTCTAAATTTCTCATAATAATCTCATTTTCTGTCTAGGAGAAACAATTTAGTGATTAAAGATATCTCCTGTGATTTTTTTTCATGCTCCATGCCCTCATATTTGACCAAAGGTTATGTGCTGATAAAAACATTAGGTAACACTTTACTTGAAGGGGTGTGCACAAGACTGACATGACAGCATGTTTATGACAACTGTCATTAAGTGTCATTCGCTCAATTATGACATTTTTAATGCAAATATTACATTGTTTGATGTCTTTGTTATGACACCTTGACATAAACCAATACATCATAACCTGTCAGTGTCTTTGTCATGACAACTTTACATTACTAAGACAACACAACCTGTCATAAATATGTTATATAAACATGACATAGCAGATTAATTATCAAACTTGAGAAACTACTTAGCTTTATGGGTTAACATTACATTAAACTGTCATGTGGTTGGTTTTGACATTGGCTGTCATGAGGCCATTATAACATTTTAATGACAAATTCAATTTGTACCACTGTAGTTGAGGTCAAGAAAAATATTCATGACAGTTATAACGGCCTCATGACAGCCAATGTCAAAACCAACCACCTGACAGTTTAATGTAATGTTAACCCATAAAGCTAAGTGGTTTCTTAAGTTTGATAATTAATCTGATAATAAAAAAACCTGATAATTAATCTAATGTTTATGACATATTTATGTTGTCTTGATAATGTCAAGTTGTCATAAATTCATCTCAAACAATGTCATATTTGCATTAAAAATGTCATAATTGAGCGAATGACACTTAATGATAGTTGTCATAAACATGCATAAAACCTCCCTCATATTCATGACATGTGTCATGTCAGTCTTATGCACACCCCTTCAAGTAAAGTGTTACCGCATAGTATGTTATTAGTGAAGGCTTTGTGCCATACACAACTATATTGTCAAATAATTTTGTCACATGAACTGCAACAACACAAACTTCTTGTAATAATAACAAAAAATAAACCGCATTAAGAAATTATACCTGCCTTGCTTTGTTTTACATATTTTATCTTTGTCTTAGGTGTGAGTCAGGAACCAGTGTCCCTGAAAGATATTCTGCTCTTCTGTCACTGGTCAGAAATTTAAAACTGATAATGAGTCTGACCGATCCAGCCAATCGCAAAACAGCACTGTGGGTGCTGCGGCAGGCGATCTCCATGGGTGATGGGCGGCTGCAAGGACTTTCCATCTGTTGTGTGGGGAACACACCCCTCTTTTATGCTGGTCAGGACCTGCAGCAAGGCTTAGTGGACATACTGACGAATGGGTCGTCCCTAACCCTGCTTGACCTAAAGGGTGTGCCCTTCACCCTCAGCGACTCCTTCGTCAGGAGCGTTGCCATGCTTTGCCCTGCTCTGCAAAGTCTTTATGTCAACAATCATTCTCTGGTGTGTGGCGTCAACGCGGAGACTCTAAGGCAAGTGCTGAAGTCCTGCCGGTCACTCAATATTCTTGGAGTTTTTCAGGCTAGTCTATCACAAGACGTCTTTAAAGATCTCATGCTGCCCGAACGACCAGCATTAAAGAAACTAGAGCTCCGTTGCGAACGCTCACTCAAATACACTGTGCCTCTCTGTGACCAGATATGGCTAGAGTTAAAACTGAGACACCCACGTCTCTGGGTGGAACTTGAGCTTGACCACACCCTACCTGAATTGCACGTCCCAGGGGTACTGCAGCCCAGCATCCCTGTTCGATGTCTTCGGCTGCTTACTTGGACATTGCTGTTGAATGAGGTTCGGATAGTCGGGCAGAGCTACGCAACCACGCTAGAGTTTCTTGAGCTGCAGACGACTGCGTCTTCTGAACTAAACTATGTGTTGATAGCTTTAGCAAAGCAATGCATCAAGCTCCAAGAGGTTCACTGTTATTGTGTGGTCTCACAAGAAGTGATAACAGCGTTCATCACAAACTGTCCAAATCTCTACAGATACACACTCAAAACACACAAAGAGGCTCACCCCTGGACCTGTACAAAACTAAAGTAATGCTCTCTCTAGCACTCTTTGCACATGATTAGATAATGTAATTCATACACTAAGCACTATGTACTCTACTGGCTTGTGTATGATTTTTACAAGATTCTTTTGTCATCAACAGAAATTGTTTGTATTGAAGGGGTATTACACCCAAAAATATAATAATTCTGTCATCATTTACTCACCCTCATGTCATTCCAAACTTGTACGACTTTCTTCTGCGGAACACAAAAGATGATATTTTGACATTGAAGCCTGTTGACTTCACTTGTATGGACAAAAAACATTGAGACATTTCTCAAAACATCTTCTTTTATGTTCCACAGAATAAAGAAGTGCATACAGGTTTAGAATGAGGACAGAAGTAAGTCGGTCATACATGAGGAATGAGAGTGAGTTTTCTTTTTGGTAAACTATCTCTAAATTGGAAAAGAAAAAAGGAAACGGTCACTAATGGTATAACAAAATGGACACAATCAAATGAACGCAAATGTCATTATTCAAATGTTTATTATTAATTTATTGACATTAAAGCACAGTTGCTCTTTTAACAAGTAAATGATTACATTTCATTTTGAGCATCAAATGTAACAGAATTTTTGTCGTTGGGATTGAAATACTTGCACATTCAAAAATGAATGTGCCTCTTGAATACCAAACTCATGTCTGTGTGTATATTGAACTCAAATCGATCTGAAATGTATAGCCAATGCACTTTGCTTTCACAACTCGCATACAATCAGTCAGCCAGTCAAACATCCGATTTTCTCTCATCATTCATAGTAGTTAAAAGAGAAGTCATAGAAAGCTGTGGTATTCTGGGAAGAAAGGTGGCTGGAGCTGTTATTATTGATATGCTTGATGAACTTGAGGGTGTCTTTGTCTCTGTATACCAGAGCGAGGGAGTTATCTTCAGGATATACTGTGAGGAGCTAAAGAAAACAGTGTCGACAGAATAAATAATGTGCACTAGTCCTGCTGGATCAGCATAAGTTATAACAAATTGCTCAAATGAAAACAAACTGACATTGTGTGACATCACTTACCTCCTCATCTTCATCATTTGCAATATAGGATGTAAATCCCCCAAACTCCGACTTCCACCCTGAAAAAACAGACTGATTTCTGACTCGTGCACTTTTTTTTTTAACTTTTTTTTAATTTACTTCAGTCAGTTTTATATGATTCTGATCTCAATCACAACTGAATCATACTGAAGACACTAATCAACTAATAGTAAAGACGCACATACACGTCAAGATTACGTACCTGCACAGCCCATGTGAAGCTGCAGATCCAATGCATACTCTCTTTTGACACAGTCATGTAACAATGTGTAGTCCCCATGTGCCCAGCGACGCAGTTCTCCTACACAAGTAGGCGGTCCTGCATGAATACAACACATGTAAATCACTGTAGATGTAAAAATTGATCTTTGCAGAAACAACACATGCACACACTGATCACCTTTGTCTTTCTTCTCAGCTGACGAAGCATCGGCATCAGCACTGGAACCCCCTGCTTGTGTATTTTCCTCTCCATCTCTGTTTTCTGTCTCGCTCTTTCCATCTTCGCTCTCATCCTCATTGATGCACAGATAGTGTAGACTGAGGCCGGTCAGGTTGGATAAGAGGATGAAGAACGGCTCAGAGGAGAGGAGTTCCCAGCACTCCTGTACACAAGTTGGGAAGCTCTGCATATCAGCACAGCCATAACACCTAAACACAGTGACAGTCATTAGTACACAGGCATCTAAACAAATCACATGACACTTACCACCAGAAAATAAAACATGCAGAGACAGGAAGAAATTAATAGTTGAAATATTATCACACAAAAGACGGGTGGGTTGGATTTCACCTTTTATTGGGCCGCCCCCTCCTCTCCCACTGGATTTCAGACGACTGCAATGCACTGCGCACCTGCCTCAGTTTCTCCTCCTGACAGTTAAAAGGCAGAATTCAGGATATTAGCATTATAGATACATGTAAGTGTGTGGAAATATGTAACAGTTTCCGATAAAGACAGATATTCATTAATATGAACAGACTTTACTATAAGATTCAATTAGCTTGCATTAGTTGATGCCTTAAAGGGATACTCCACCGTTTTTTCATATTAAACTATGTTATTCTCTTATCTAAGACGAGTTGATACATACCTCTCTCGTCTCAGTGCGTGCACTGAATCGCTCTGTCGGGCGGAGAACTTTGAGAGCAGTTAGCTTAGCCCCATTCATTGTATATGGGCCAAACAGAGATGAAGTTAGAAGCGACCAAACACATCCACGTTTTCTCTATTTAAATATAGTTACACGAGTAGTTACACGACCAAGTATGGTGACACTAAATAAAATGTGGCGCTTTTTATAAGCGGGTAAAATGGATAACTATAATGTATGGCGGAATAGCACTTATTGGGAGCACTTCGACTCGGCGCTGTAATATCTTCACTCGTGAAAAGTCCTCTCCCTCTCCCTCTCCCTCTCCCTCTCCCTGTCATTTCCATCAATAGAACCAACGTGACCTGCACGCCTGCAGTAGTAGTAGTTTTTTGTGCAGAGTTGACGAAGTATCAGGGAGAGGGAGAGGACTTTTCACGAGTGAAGATATTACAGCGCCGAGTCGAAGTGCTCCCAATAAGTGCTATTCCGCCATACATTATAGTTATCCATTTTACCCGCTTATAAAAAGCGCCACATTTTATTTAGTGTCACCATACTTGGTCGTGTAACTATATTTAAATAGAGAAAACGTGGATGTGTTTGGTCGCTTCTAACTTCATCTCTGTTTGGCCCATATACAATGAATGGGGCTAAGCTAACTGCTCTCAAAGTTCTCCGCCCGACAGAGCGATTCAGTGCACGCACTGAGACGAGAGAGGTATGTATCAACTCGTCTTAGATAAGAGAATAACAGTTTAATATGAAAAAACGGTGGAGTATCCCTTTAAGTGTCTTAAACTAACAATAAACAACAACATTTAGATTCGTGTTCATACTTGTATAATTTATATAAATAAATGTTAAAGTTGCAATGTAACAGAAGTAGAGGCAGATCATCTGTATTGTGTGACGTACATCAGAGTGAAAAATGAAGGGCGGGGTCTTGGGTTCAACCCATTGGTTGTTGATTGGACAGGGGCAGCTCTAAATGCAAGCTTGCAGTCGGTCGTAAGAAAGAGGCAAATTTATTTTGGACTAAATGATGGAAACTTCGACATATATGTGGAATTTAGACAATTTTATTAAACATTATGAGGTCAAAAAATGTTTTAAAAATTAAACGGATGTATGGATGAATACCTTATCGTAAGATCAATAACATGCATTTAGAAAATAGATGAATTTCCTTTTCATGTTGACTAAAAATAATTAGTAGATGTAAAAAAATTAACATTAACTTAAATTTAAAAATGCTAATGTTAACAACTTGAACTCGAATTGTAAAGTGTTACCATTAATGGATATGAAAAATAGTACCATTTTCATTGTAATTTAGATCCATCTCTATTGGTATAGTCCATATGGCACAATATAGGAATATTCTTCAGTGCAGTGTCTGCAAATGTGACTCTTACATGTGCAAAATTATAAATAAATAACTTAAACACTTAATTATTTAAAACTTACTTGCCTACATGTCTCTAGTGGGATGTCACTAAAATTCACATCTACAGGAATTTCTCATTTCCATCAATTATACATAGACCTCCACAACAGCACAGACAAAAAGGGTCTTATAAAAGCCTCTTCTGTCACAGTTTATTTATAAGTGTATTTATATATATATATATACACACACACACAAACACACAATTCCTAACCATGTACCAGTGCATAGCCATTCACTGATGTACATTTGTATGTGTACTACTGTTCATTAAATATAATTGAACATTTTTGTGTAATTAATAATTATGATGATGATGACTAACCTGTAAGAAATCAGGCAAGCAAATCTCTGAATTATCTTCGAATTCCTGCTGTACCCGAGCCTGATAGCGCGGATCCAGGTACATCTCATTCACCCACTCAAATAGCAAACTCTCCTATAAAACATAAGCACAATGAGCTTCAGACAGAGGAAATATAAGTTGAGTGAGTGAGTCTAGGTCATTTGGCCATGTCACACAACAAAAACACACTGTCACGCTAACTTGACTTACATCTCTGGGGATATGAGTGTGACGGGGAACTGGGGGTTCAATGTACCGTGAGGGCCTTGGAAGGGAAGGACCATGAAACCATCCACTCAGAGATAAACGGCACTTCTCCTCAGAAAGAACCTCTGCCACCTAAGCTTGCAGATCATTTCATTAAAACCGATGTAAATCATTAATGAATGGACATTCAATCAAAATATAATTAAATACTATAATAATATAACAAAAAAACAAACAAAATAAACTGATTACCTGATGGAAGGAGACGGGGGACACTTCAAAAAACACCAGAGAGTTCCAGCAAGGAAGCAGAGACTTGACAACATTCACTGGCTGACAGTGTTCTGTGAAACATACAGAATAATAATTAATAAACAAAACAAAAAATATTTTAAGCTGAATAATACACATTTTTTATTGCAAAACATTCTTACTCAGTATTACAAATATCAAAAAATTAAATCAAGATCCATTTACTTGAGAATCAAAATGACTGTTTTCTGAAAATATCAAAATAAAGTGAGTTTATGCTTAAAATAAGAAAAATAAATCTATCTGCTGGAAGTGGGGTCAGAAAAATAAACTTTATTTTAAACAAGATTATTTTTCTTACCTCACTGACAGTTTTCTTCTTCTCGGTTTAAGCATAAACTCACCTACTTTCGATCAATATTTTGTATATATTAAGTCGTTTTGCTTCTCAATGAATTGTGTCTTGATTTAATAATCTTTAGATATTTCTACTGGAAAACAAGACAAAAAACTGAGTTTTTTATGCAGTGCGGGGGCTAAAATGACACTATTTTTGCTTCTTTTTTTAATCACACACCATCAGTGCTGAACAGGTCCAGTGTCCCTCCATCATTCACGTCCCAGGGAGGAACCAGATA